CAAGATACAGAAAGACAAAGATCTAGGATATACTTTTAAGCCATATGATGAAATGAAATCATTGATGGAGTTGGATCACATATAAGAAATTAGATAAACGGCACTAGCCTATGCTGATGACATAGCCTGGATAGCAACTTTGAAGCAACAACTGGAACATACAGTAGCTTTGGCTGAACAATTTTTTAGATTAAATAACATTAAGATAAATAGTAGCAAATCCAAACTAGTAGTAGTTAACTCAGTATTGGCTAGACAAGAAAGATTTATAGATTTTTGTGGTACCAAAATTATGGCAGAAAGAAGGCTATGCGACGTGAAGTACTTAGATGTTACACTCCACACCTCAATAGAAGTAGCTAATATTAAAAACAGAGCCAAAAAGATAGTGCGCCTTTTCTTGCACCTAATAGGGAAAAGGAAAGTTACAGCAAGCCAGCTAGTCTATATAAATAATCAAGTATTGATACCCAAATTAGAATATATCTTGCAGGTCATTCCGCTAGCAGAAAAAGAAGTAGAAACAATTCATCAACCAATGCTATGTTTGTTTAAAAGAAAGTTGGGTATAGCTTAAATGTGTTTGAACAATATTATTTTATATAACAGTATGCTCGGGTTTCAATTGCTCACTAGTTTACTCATAGCAAGACAAGCAGTTGTGTTACTAAAGAGTCTAAATAATATAAACACAATAGGTAGAATTATAAGGCTTAGAGTTAGACAAGGTATTTTCCGTAAAGGAATATGTCAAGATTTTTGGAAGTGTCCGGTAGCTAAGACAAGCAAGACTAGATAGAGAAGCAACATTGTCTGTAACACAATCAAAAGGTGCAAACAATTTGATTTATTTCTTAGTACAAATGAACAAGGGTGGTATTTAAAAGGAACAGGCCCTACGATAAGTGATCTAGTACTATCTAAAGTATTTGAAAGAAGTGAGAAATCTCGCATCAAATTAGAAGTTTTTTTCTTAGGACAATTAATTGATCATGAAGGCAATACACTTCTATCTTGGCAGCAACTCAGAGCTGTAAAGGGTAAATGTATAGCAGAAAAGAAAGCTCGCTGGTTTAGTAAAATTGAAAAGAAGGTTCTGGTTTCAGCAAAAGAAAGAACACTTAAAAGTTAATACCAGCTTTGCCGTGAAAACCCAATGTATCTCCTAGTGCAGCATGAGAAATCAAAAACCGACAAGAGATGCAAGCCCTGAATAGTATTAAGAGAACAAGATTCAATAGTACCAATAGTTGGTTGCATTGCAGATACTGAAGGTGAAGACATATACTTCGAACACTGGCTAACAGAGCCTGGTTATAATACCGGGTTTCTACAACGATGTAATGGATGTAGAATAAATATAGCAGATGAAACAGACCAATGTATAGACAAGAAGTTCATTACACAAAGCTTTCGCCAAGTTAAAAGTATAGTTAAAAAAGAGAATAGGTGGTTCATGCTGATTCCTATATCTTGGTTTTTTCACCCACAGTTTTTGTGCAAGGTGGAGAAGAGAAGTTTGTAGAGTTGAAGCCAGTTAAACATGTAGACATCACCTTCATTAAAAACTAGCACTTTAAGCCAAAAGTCGAAAGTTTGTTAATTGGGAATGTAAATTACAACTTACGACAAGAAAACAGGAACCTAGTATTTTTTACGGATGGATCATGGGTATGATCAAGTGACAAATCTGCGATCATCGATCTAATGGGAGCAGAATGAATACAAATGCATAAAGAACAACCTGAAACAGAAATCACCAGAGGTAGTGTAAGAGTAGAAGTCATCAAGACCAGAACTGATGGCAATCTGGTGCGCACTACTAACCACGTGTTCAGGAAGTACAGTCGAGATTAATACGGACAGTATAGTTGCAATATATAGTATTCAGAAAGCATTAGAAAACAGAAGCTTCAGAGTATCAAGTAAATTAAAAAATTACTTAATCATAGATAAGATAGTAGAGACAATTCAGTTTAAAGGGCTTAAAGTAAACTTGAAGAAGGTTAAAGCACATAGCAGTGTTAAGTGGAACGAGGTAGCAAACAAGCTAGCGAAAGAAGGTGCAGCCTTAGATGAAGATTAGTCAATTTGTAACTTGGCTGGGTCTAGATAGTCATTTGGTATAAGATGGCAAGGTGAACAAGTAGACTCTCCAATAAGATCCTTTATACTTTAGATTATCAATATAAAAATTGAAAGCTCTTGGTACATACAAAAAAAGGCTCACCTACATAGCGAGAACGAAAAAGCGGAAGACTTGATTTGGAGTAACTGTTGGGGGAGATTCAAAAAGTTCAGAGGTATGAGATGCGACTCAACCAAAAAGAGTCTTAAATTAGTCAAATATGTTAAAAATCTGTCACAAATACTCCCAATGAAAAGTGTCCTATACAAGAGAAAACCCTCAGTTTATCTGGATCTCATCTGTGTCCTTTGTGAAGATAGTAAAGAGGAAAATGCAAATCACCTTATGCAGTGTCAGGCACTAGACGAGACATGGTGGGAAATCAAGAAGTTCAGTATTAGTCTAGCTTGGGCATCGATAGAAGAAGTTTATAGGGTAGCTTTAACAGTACAAGACTTGTGGAGAGCTATTCTCGGTTCAACATTAGTCGAGAGAGTCAAGGCGCATAGTCTCCTATTGAAAGGTCTTTTTAGACGCAGCACACTTTTGTGGTTAAGTAATATTCTAGAAAATGAAGCCATAGCATTAGAAACCCTAAAGGCAGCTAGCTTTGGTATGCAAGAGTGTTTTCATAGACTAGTATGGAGTGATAGATATAGAAAATTTATCACATGGGAGAAAAAAAATAATATTGGAGCCAAAGAAAAGCAACCAAAGAAAAATGACAAAAGAAAAAGATCTCACGGAAAGGAGAATATTGTACCTAGTCAGAGTAGTGGTGTTAAAGACCAACCAAAAACAAATAAGCAATTAAAAGTTGTAGGGGTGGATCAGTTGATAAAGTCGGAGGTAAAACATTTGTCAGAGGTAGTAGTAAGACAGAGAATTTTAAGCTCTAACTTACCAAGTTGGTGGACTAAAAGATTGTAAATATTTGATGGGAGCTGAGCCCAGGCTAGATTATATCTTTAAATGCGGCACACCATATGTAGGATATGGTGGCTAATATCAGTGTGATAACCAAACTTGGACATCTTAAGAGACAGCCGGGTTTTAGTCTAATTAGATTATTAAATAGTTTAGTTTTGTATTAAGTTGTAAATATTTAATAAAATTTTAGTATGCGGTTATTAAAAAAAAAAAAAAAAAAAAAAAAAAAAAAATACTTTTTCTAATAATATAAAATTTAATAAACAAATTATTTTAATAAAATACACTTGTATATTTTATAAGTTTGCTATAGTGACCTCAAATTTGCTAGGATTACACAAAATTCTTGATTTTTATTAGTTAATCATATGATCATCATATGATTTTTGTAAACAAAAAATCTTTAAATACATATTTCTTGGTAAATTTCTAACCAATTTTAACAATTTTACTATTGTTAGAATTAGAAGAATCTATTCTACAAATTTTATTCTAAATTTAAAAATAAGTTACTTAATAAAATTTATTTTAATAAGATATAGCAACTTAGTGTAGTAGTCTAGTTATTACCCTCTCTAAGTGGCAAATCTAGAATTTGAATTCTACAGGTGACAATTTTGAAAGATAGGTCTGTATTACAGTTAACAGTTATGATTATTAGTCAAATCTAAAACTAAATCTGTAACTTTAGTTATACTATTTAGTAATAGAAGCTTTAAATTTAAAAAACCAGAATAACCAAAAATCTATTTGGAAAGTCCCAAATTTGGAGGTAGCAGTGATTTTTGACAGTACTACAGAAAGTCTGAATTTAAACTGGGATCTGAAATTGAAAACTACACAATCAAGTTTTTAAGTGAAAAGACATACTAGCTGAACTAATAGACACAAAATCGTCAAAATCCAATCACAGAACCCCGAGATCGGTAGAGATTTGCGTCACTTCGGGTGTTTTAGGATTGGTTAAACCAATCCTAAAACACCCGAAGTGAAACAAATCATCAAATATATCGGGATCCTGTGATTGTATTTTGGCGATTTTGTGTCTATTAGAATCGTCTCACCGAGACGAACATTTTGGTAATTGTTTTGTCGAAAACGGATCAGTGGATTAAAAGTTATTCGCGGTTAAATAATTTTGGAATTTTTAATAGTAAATTCCAAAAATCCGCCGATATGTATGAAATATGATAAATGATATAAGCGAAGGTTAAGTAGAAAATGGCTATATCGGTATAAATTGAAAAATAGAAATTAGGGATTTCTTTTAAGTGCCCCATTAATAAAATTCAATAAATTGATTTTAGAGTAGGGTCACCTAGACTAAAAGAGGTCTGAATGAGCTCTCCTTCTGCTAACTCGATGTAAGTCTAACTTTGTTATTACTAACTACCATCATCGCCAGGATGATTGGAAGCTTCAAGAAAATTGGAGATGAATCTTGATTAGTTGTGAGTATTTACAGTAGTCCAGATTAATAGCCCAGTCAGACAGTCAGTTATCGAAAAAATTAATGAAGTATAGCATGAGTGAAATAAACGAATAAAGTAAATAAAACAATACTATGGAACCAGCTGTGGACCACGTGAACAGCGACGTATGGTATGTTCTGTAGTTGTGTTTTATTGTGTTTGTATGATCGAGTGACAAATTAAAGTTTAAAACTTATTAAGCTATGTCCAAGGTGTTGTTATTTTTTTTCTGGCCTTCTATTTATTATTTAAGGTCAGAAAGTGCAAATCGATTTTATAAATTTGCCACGTGATAAACGAAAGAAAAGAAATAGTGATAATTATAAATATATAAAATTAATGATATCAAAAGTTTATAGAAAAGAATAATAGTAATAATATAGGCTTAAATACAAAAGTAAGCAAAAAATTATACAATGGATATTTTATAATTCATTAAAATATGAAATTTCATATACGTACTCCAAAAATTAACCAAAGGCAGCAGCAAGAGCTATTATTTTCTGTGTGGTGCCCGCCGTAAAACAGTATTTGATTGTTGAATTGCCATCATAATTCTTGATTATTTTAGTATAATTGTGTCGATTAAAGAGTCGACCAAGTGAATTACCAGACATAAATGCTTCTAAAATATACACTCGCATTGGATTATTAGTCATTGCATATGTTGTTACACCAAGTATTAAATCTTTTCCGCCATCAGTGTCGAATGCCTCATTTTCTGAACAGGTAAGTGAATCAGAATCCTTATTATCCCATTTTCTGATGTTGTTAGAATCAGTACACGTTGCACGTGAGACATTTTGTTGGTCCACATGGTCAATACAATTTTCGTACGGCTGACAATCCTGTCGAAGTATAAAGGTATGATTTGGATTTCCTGCAGATGCACATGTTGCCTTCACAATGTTAGATGCCTCGCAATAGGAATTTTGATAGATAGGATAGCTCGGATTGGTACAATTAGGATATGAGTCGCGTTTGACTAAGGAAATACCGGAATTTATAACTAGATCCGGTGATATCTCTAGGGGTATTCCCATGACCACGGATGTAATCGCAACCAAAAAGAAAGCGTATAACAATCTAATAAGCATGTTTTCTATTCTCCTCTTTTCTCTGTATAGGATGTAAAAGAAAAATAAACTGAGGAGCTAATAATACTTTAAGTTCTTGATAATCATTCAATTTATACATACGTGATAATCTATTATTTCACCTAAAATGACACTTCTGAAATATAAAATTTAATCAAGAGAATAAAAATCAAGATGGTAAATATAAGATAATTCAGAAAGGCCAAAGAGAGTCTTTGATTATGAGCTTACCAATTGCTTAGAATTACCTGGAGGTAAATAAATTCTACGATCGTATTTGAAGAATAAAAAGATTCGGAAATTGGTAAATATGAGAAAAACCATTTGAAAAGCTTTCTTATTGTGGACAAAAAAGTTGATGTCGATCAACTACATCCACCAGGAAAATCGGTAATTGTAGTACATACGTTGATAGATGCGACAACGCTATCGACTTTCTGTCTATGTAATTACTCAAATTACACAGAATTAAATCAGATCCGTGTGTAAAATATCCCAAATTACACAGATCAATATAGATCGTACGGTATGGGGGTAAAAATATCCTGATCTGGTGTGATATATCCTTTAACGTTAAGGTTAGGAATTATAAGCAAATAGCATTGGTATCAGTATAGTTTTAAAATAGTGTATCCTCCCCCTATTGCTTCAGGGCGAATGAACACAAAGATGAACACTATGAGATAAAACTAAAATCTGATTGGCTGTCATCGATATAAATTATGGTTGTTCTCAAGCTTAATAAGATGTTCTGATTGGTTAAAAATGGATCGTGTTTATCAAACCTGGACTAACAACCATCTTTTTTTTATAGAGTTTCTATGATTGGCTAAATTAAAATTTGCATTTGCTCAATGAATTTCCGACAAAATCTTTATAAAATCATTTCGCTGATCGTCGATCACCAGCAAATCTTATTGAGGGAGTTGCTTGAGAACATCCCCATGTTACATGCTAATCATTTTGTTACACGGCTAGATTTGTATTGCAAACGATGTAGACAATTAATTGTGAATTTATTCTAAAAATTAAGTTCGAAGCAATATAACAAGTTTTATTCAACATTTAGCTATAATCAAGCATGCCAAATAACTTGAGTTATTGGCAGCTTTATAAAAAAAACAAATCATATCGGTGGATTTGCGGAATTGGTCCTGAATTGATCTTAAATTGTATTCTCAAAGTTATCCGCCAAATTTTGTAGCAAACAAATATACGTACATATAAAGATAATTTAAGGGTAAATAGATACAATGACATTGTAATTGTATCTATTTACCCTTAAATTATCTTTCTATATACACTTGTTTGCTATATACAAACTTTGGGGTTCTCTTTGCGGATAACTTTGAGGATCAATTAAAGGATCAATTCAGGACCAATTCCGCAAATCCGCCGATATGTTATTTAGCAATATTTTATTTATACAAAAAAAATTAAAAATTTTATTTTTTATTTTTATTTTTTTTAGCAATTGTCTTTTTTATTTGTTACATATATATGAGATCTAACTAATAGTTCTCCATATTACACAAAAAAGACTTATCTGGTTACTAAAATATCTAAATACAATTTGCTACAACCTTTTCTCTTTACAATGGTTTACAGATGCATTACAACTCTTCTGTAATTTATTAAGCCTTGTCAAGTTTACTTTTGGTGATATCTTCTGTTAGATATTGCTGGATCTTTTTTCTAACATCTTTGTTGTTTGGTGGAAAGTATACTATCTATATTACTAGAATTGTTTTTTTGAATCTAAAGACTGCTTTTAGTATATAAGTGTTTTTACTACTAGGTAAATGGAGGCCATTTAAGGTCCGAAGGACTTATCATGGATTAGTCTGACAATGGGTATTTTCAGAGAATTGTTTGTTTTTATCAGATCAACCAATCAAACCTCTTAATTTGCAGACACACACACATCCAGGTCACTATGACTCTCCTGTAATGTCCTTCAGACAATTACCTCAGTAAGGTGAGTTTGCCATTTTTTTCTTACTAGTAATCCTACATCTGAGTCTTTTTTTTTTTCTATATTGTCCTTTGTCTAAAAGGCTCTGTATTATTGCTAGTTTACCTCAAAAAAAAATGGCTCTCTTGTATTAATATTTGTTTTTGTTAACCCTTTAATATCCAATTTTTTCTCAATTCCAAAGTCTATAAGCTCTTGTAGTTTTGACCTGTTTCCTTTTAGTCTATTTATATTACAAAAATCTAGTTTTACTTGTTCGAAACTCTTATCTATTTTATTAATATAGCCAGTATATTTCTGTCTTAGAATGTTTTTTAACCCTTTTACCTGTGATTCAACTGTGGCTACTTTTAAGAGCATTGGGCAATTTGTCACTCTAGTTTTGTGAATTTTTCTTTCATTTTATTTACAAGTTTTCAGAGGTTTTTAGTTTGGTCTTATACTCTCTTTGTTTTCTTTTTCTATCTCTATTTCTACTTTGTTTGCACTAGTTGTATATTTGTTCTTAATACTTCCAAGAGGATTTCTGGTATTGCTTTAGAATTTAATATTGTTATTACTTCTACTTAGTAGTACAAATCAATAAAAATTCTCCAATCAATTAGCTGGTAAATCATTTTACCTAATTAATTAAATAATCGATTTTTATTCAACTAATCGATTAGTTAACTATTCAATTAATCAATTAATTAGTGATTCACTAGTCAACCAGAGAGTGATCATAATAAAATATAACTCAAATTACTTATAAAAATTAGGAGTCTTTAAATGTGGCGTGTGCATATATAAAACTTTTTTTATACTAAGTTAATTATCTTTCTAACTTAAGAAACTTTTGTAAAACTTGTCAAGATGCATCTAATAGTAGTTAAAGTATCAAAATTAGCCTGGTAGATGCAGAGATATCTTTAAAAAATATTTCTTTTACTATATAAACTTCTTTACAAACAATAGTATTGTTTGCAAAGAAGTTTATATAGTAAAAGAAATATTTTTTAAAAATATCTTAGCACTTACTAGGCCACTATTAGATGTGTCTTGACAAGCTCTACAAAAGTCTTTTAAGTTAGAAGGATGATTGATTAACTTAGTATAAAAAAAAGTTTTAGATATACATATACTACATTTGAAGATCTCTAATTTTTATAAGTAATTTGAGTCATATTTTACTATGATCACTCTCTGGTTAACTGGTGGATCACCAATTAATTGATTAATCGATTAGTTGGCTAATTAATTAATTGATTAATCGATTAGCTAACCATTTAATTAATTGATTAATTGATTAATTGACTATTTGATTGATTAATCAACCAATCAATTAGTTGATTACAGTTATTTCTGAGACATCTGGCAAAAAATTAACCTGAATAATTTTTCTGCTAATTCAATAAATTATTGATTTTGGTGTGATCTGTATATAAAAGCTATAATAAATTCTCTATTATTAAATTTTTGCTTGAATACTTGCCTAACATGTCTGGTGTGTTTAGTTTGTATAAAAATTTTATAAAAATAACTATTCTTGTCAACCAATAAATCTTAATAAAAAATAGAAAAATGAATCTGAATATAAATTAGATATTTATAACAAATATATTATACAAACAGGTGCTGCTATTAAAAAAGTTAAATATAAATATAAATTTGTTAACTAGTTTAAAAATGAATTTCTGGTTAAGATTCAAAGTGACTAAAATATTATTAATATTTGTTGAGAATGTATAAATAATTATGATAAACAAAATCCAAGTAAAAAATTTTATTGTTTATATAATTTTGTTTTTAGCAAGAAATAAAAAATTAAATAAATTCTTTCATTTGAATAAAAATGTATTTTGCTAATGAATAGAAATCAAAACTTGTTTTTTTTAAAAACAAATTTTTTATTATTAACAAGAAATTTTTTTTTTTTTTAATTCTTTGACAGGTCTTGCCATGACTTGACCTCTTAGTTTTTAATTTATATACATTTATTTCTAAGACTAACTAAAAGCCCGACTTCACCCGGTTGTCTATATAGGTACCTAGGTGCAAACTGTCGCACTAGCTTACGGATAAGCTAGAAAATAAACTCTCTTTAAGAGCTTGTCCAAAAGAGGTTTACACCCTTTTGTATCCAACTCAAAATGGCATCATTCCATGTTTTTCTTATCTCTATCTTCTTCACTAACAATTCCTTTCCTTTAACTCTATTTTTGTTTTTTTTCTTTCTAGAACTAGACGATATACCACTTTCTTTTTCAATCGATTTTCTCTTGTTTTTCCTGTTTATATTTTGCTCTTTTTCCCATTTGTTGACCTTAGTGTATCTGTCTTTCCATATAAAGTCATAAAAACCATTCCAGATCATATGCGTAGCAAGTTCTATCGAATTTGCGGTTGTTTTCATCGAAATTAAAAGATCCTTAATTTTATCAAAAGTGTCTATAGTGGATAAGCCTTTAATCCAGAGCTTTCTTTTTTCACTTTTATCAGCTTCTGTGACCCCAATTAAGATCTCATGGAGGAGTCTTTTTGAGCAAAGATATTTTTCTTTGTTTGTGAATTTGGACCATACTAAATCAACTGCTGTATTCTCAATGCGTTGCCATATTGACTTGTAGAAAGAACATTCTGCCAAGTAGTTCTGAGTTTCTGCAGTGCTGATATTGCATGCTATACAATTACTGCTTGTATAGATGTCCACTTCTTGTTCCCAAGGTTTTAAGTACCGGCAAGTTTCCCGAAAGGCATTTCAACTGTGTTGCGAGCTTTTTGCTTTTCTGTAGCATATTACATTTAACACCTTTTAACTTTTTAATTCTTTTCTAATATGTATGCCAATCTAATTTGGGATTATTTATTTTAGGTTCTATAACTCTGATTGATTCTGTTAATCTCCAGTTTGTACCGTTCCAGGTTTGAAGATCTTTTTGAGAGTGAGCCTGGTTGATTTTTCGATTTTATGATCACCCCAAAATAGTGAAAAAGAAATTTTTGTTTTTAGGTCCAAGTGAATGTTCGTTGAGTGTGAGAATGATGTAGCTTTCTTTGCTAATACATCCGCTTTATTATTCTACTTGTTGTTGCTATGACCCTTAATCTTTTTGAGTTCTAAATTAATCTCTTTTGCTTTAATAAGATCCGCTATTTTGACTAAAATGTCACAGTTCTTTTCTTTGAAGATTCTGTTAAATCTCTATTCACTTTTGATTTTTTCTATACTGGCAATCGCTGCTACACTGTCTGAAAAGATCCAAATATTACTGCTAGTTGGAATAGTAAAAAGAGCTAACCAAATTGCGATGAGTTTGGGCTTTGTCAATGATGGCCAATTCTCTAATTTTGCAGATCCCTCCCATAATAACATTTCTTGTTTCTCATCTACCTGTACCCAACCAATATCCATACTACAACTATCCATCTTACGAATTAATGACCCATTTGTGTATACCTAAAAGTTATTTAAGTTACTACTAATATTAAAATCTAAACTATTTTTTAAATTATTTGCCAACTCTATATTAAAATTCTGATCTAATATTAACTGTTTATCTAATGATTCTATGCTCTGTACCCACATAATAATCTTTCTCTTCTACCAAGTTTTGACGTCTTGTACTTGCTGTTTTTGCTAGACATAATATCTTTATATCTAGAGATATACTTTTAATTGTTTTTTTGTAAAGGCTTTGAGATTACTATAAGTACGTTGCTTTGATTGATCCAACTATATTTCCCATTTTGCTCAGGTGATGATGTTTTGGTAACCTGCTCTACTTCAACATACCCTGACGTTAAGCTATTTTCTTTTATTAACCAATATTCTGTGAGAATTTTACTTTTGCCTTTTTTAATGATCTTTCTTGTCTCTAAATCCTCATTCTCTTTGTTTATCAAAATCCATTCTCTTTTTTTGTTGTCTGATGATATTGACACTACTGGAATTACTAGCGCAAGATCATTTGGCCCTGGAGTTTGATGTATTTCTTTGATCTCTCTGCTTATAAAACTCTCTAATAAAATATTTTCTATAGCTGAGAACCACTTCGCTTTTTTCCCTACTTTGGCTTTGTCTTTTGCTATTTTAAGTTGCTGCCATGTTAGAAGTCTTTTTTCCTCTTTGTCTAATAGTTGATTTCGGAATATAATACTTAGATCTTCTAAACTCTTATGTGACTTTATGAAGAGAGCTGCATTTATGACTTCTTTGATTTGCGGGCCAGTTCTTTGAAAAAGCCATTGGTCGATAACAGGTTGAATACTTATATTAAAATCTTGTATCTTGTGCAGTATTGAGCAAGTTGTATTAGTTTTCCATATCGGCGTTAATGTCAGGTTTGCTTCAAATATCCAGCTTCTATTGATGATGTTTGCCTTCAACAAACCTTGCTTAATTCGAATTTTTGCTAATTGACTATCTCGATCTAAACTATTTAGTCTACATTGCAGATCTGTTATTTGCTGCGTTAAGAGCTCTTGCCAGAGAAATTTACAATTTCCTAAATTTCTATATGCTAATAAAAGTTGTTTGTTGTGTGAAGTAGCTCGATCTTGTTTTTTATTAATCTAATCATAGGTTGATGTATTGTATCTAAAGCATTCTTAGAGAGATTAGATACTTGCAGCATATAACATAGCCTTGGAATCAAATACATATTGTTTAAGTAAATCAACTGGCTTAGCGTAAGCTTCTTGTTTTTTATTGTCTTAATGGTCAATTGGACTAGAAGCTTGGCCTTTTTTTTGATTGAGGTAAACTGGGCTTTACTGCTCAACCATACTCCTAAAAATCTTGTAAGTGTTTTGCTTTTTTCAGCTTCTACTTTCTCATTTGCTAATAATATATTTCTGTTATCTGCATTTTCAGACAGGTTAATTACTATTAGCTTTGACTTTTTTGGGTTTACTCTTATATCGTTTATTGCATAAAACTCTTTTGCGATCTTTAGAGTTGCTTCTAGTTGTGATTTACTGTTGGCTATCCATGTTGTATCGTCTGTGTAAGCTAAAGCCGCTTGACGATATTTTGTTTCCTTAAAAGTATTCTGGCTTAGGTTGAGTGGCTCTTTTAGGAGAACTGTGTACCCAAACTTTGCATTGTTTTGAACTCTATGTATCAGTGGATCATAAAATATCCTCCATACCAATAGAGATAGCACTTCTCCTTACTCAATCCCATCTGATGCTATAATGTTCTCTGTGGGACCTACTGCTATTAGAATTCTAGTTTTCCTATCTTTAAATAGACTAATAATAAAATTTATCAGAGTACTTGGTATACGAATTCTTTCCATTGCCAATTTAAGCATTTGGAGTGAGACCGAGTCAAATACTTTTTGCATGTCTTGGAACATGAGCCAAAGTTCTTTGTTTTGTTTTTTTGCATCTTCTATAATGCTGCTAAGTATGTACATCACCTTAGATGTCGCATCTCCAGGTAAGCCTGCATAGTTTGGTTCTTTGAGGATTGAGTTTTTCGTCAAAACTTCTAAAAGACGCGTTGCTAGAATCTTTGTTACACACTTGCGAAATGTTTCTAAAAGTGCTATTGGTCTTAAGGAATTAAGAGTACAATTCTATTCAGCTAATTTTGGTATTGGGTATATCTGGCTGTACTTCCACTTAGTTGGGATTTTCCCAAATTTTAGACATAATGAACTAAATTTTCTAAAAAAATAATGCGTTAACTGATTTGCTTGTTTAATCAATATATAACCAATTCCTGATATTCCAGGTGCTGTGTTGCTCTTGAGCTCTTTGAGCATACTGTGCCATTTTAACTCTGAGATATCATTTTTTAAGCTTGTATACCAAGTCTCATTTATTTCTGATTGTGGTTCATATATTTTTTCTCATTCTGGAGTGAGAAGATTAACATTTGGGTTGCTTTTGTTGTATTAATCTTGAAAGAAGTTTTGAGTTTTGGTTAAGACATCTTTTGGGTTCATGTATAACTGAAAATCATTATTAATTTTTTCTAATATTCTATCTATTCTGGCTTTTGAGTATGGCTTATCCAGAATACTTTTTAATATTTTCCCTTGTTTGTCTTGAATCATAAGGCAGCATTAGTCAGTAAATTCTTTGATTCTTTCGTTCTTCTGTTTTTCAAGTGCTGATACTCATTTTTGATTGAAAATGTAAAGCCATCTCTAAATATCTTAAACTCATTTTTCTATTAATACCGAATTATCTAATGCTATGTTTACTTCATGCCTGAGGTTTATTCTATATATTAACGATCTAATTTCTTGTCTTCTTTTTTCTGAAACTGCTAGTATGGCCTTTTGCTTTTTGTTCTCCTGTGCTATTCTTTTCAACTCCTGGCAGATTTTGCTAATACTAATTGTGTTCTCATGTAAAGGCAACTTTGCATTTAGTGTTAAGTTTTCTGTTGTGTTTGGTATTTTTTTTGAAGGAATATTCTTTTTAGCAGCATATAATATTTCTGCTTCAATAGAAACCCAAATATGATCTATGTCTTGTTGAGATATTATACTAATATCTTTGTTTAATGCAATTAATGAGGATACGCGCTTGTCAAAAAAGTATTGCAGTGAGGATTTGTAGTCATTCCAGTTTTTAGCTGTGGCTTTATCATATAAGAATTTTAAGTGAAACTTCTTAGCCTTAGTAGTATTATGATCTTGGTTCTGCATGTTACTTTTGCTGTTTAAGCTAACTAAAGTTGTGTTGTAGTTGCTTCCTGTTATACAGTTCATATATAGAATTTCTACATTATATAGATTTTCCACTACACCTTTGGAAATCCAAATTTGGTCGATCCGTGTGGCTGTATTACCATTTGACCATGTGTAAGCTTGTGAATTAGGATTTAAATGACGAAAAGTATCTACAAATTTCTGACTTAATATCTATTCATATAGAGGAAGCTTTTTGTGTATAACTTTGTTACTAAGGCTCTGTTTATCAAGCTCTGGTGTCGTTATATAGTTGAAGTCTCCCATAATTATTACCTCGTAATTTAATACTCTGCTGAGGTATATTTCTTCAATTTGTTGTTGAATTAGCTTGATTTGATTTTCGTCATTTGGTGGAAGATATACAATTAATACTGCTAACTTTAAATATTTTAATATTATGTGAAGCTCTAATAGGTATTCATTGTGTCTTTTGATGTTTTCTGTAAATTTGTGGATTTTTTCTCCAATAAGAACTCCTACTCCTGATCCTTTCTTTTTGTTAGGGCATGAGCTTGACCAATAACCTTTAAATGGGCTCTCAGATTCAAGAATAAAATGACCTTCCCTGTCTGAAATGTTTGTTTCTATAATTTTTATAATATCTATTTCTTTCTCTTTTGCCCAATTTACTAAATGTAAGAGTTTATGATTGTTCAATTTAAGTCCATTAATATTATGACATGCTAACTTTAATTCACAATTTAATTCACAATTTAGGGCATTTGTAGTTATCTTAAGTGGTAGTTGCTCTGTCAAGCTATTTTGCTTGTTTAATTCCATTGATATGCCTGTGGTACCTTTTAGGAAAGATTGGGGCCTAAGGCTCTCTGTTTTTCTTCGATTTTTTGGAGTCTGTTTAGAATTTGCTCTAGGATACTGCCTTGGAGTTCTAAGTTATTTGAAGCAATATTTCTTAAATCTTTCTTCTCAGTTTTCTTTTCTTTTGTATTACCTAGTTCAGTTTTATTTACCCCGGTTGCTGCTTTATTTAGTAAGTGATTCTGTCTATTTAATTTATTGTCTTCTATTTTCTAAGTGGCTTTCTTGTATTACTGTAGGATCTAAAGTTTTCACTTATAATTTTTTTTTGTCTAATACTGTTGTTACTAGATGATCTTCTCCTTTTGAGGTTTTGTCTATAATACACTCCTTGGTTTTTTAAGTATTGATTATGGTAAATTCCACTTGTGTTATTTATGTCTCGATTTTCTTTGGGCCTATTATCTTCATCAGATTCGTGATGCTCATTTCCACTCCACTCTAGTCTGTTATGAAAGTAATATAGTACAGAAGTTTTTGCTGTTTTGAGGTTCTCTAATGTTGCAAAATAGACTAGAGCATTCCTATTTGAATTATTATTTCTATTAGTGAGCTTAAAAACCATCTTTGCTTTGAACCTTTTTAATTGTCTCATTAGAACTGACTCAGGTGCCAAGTTAAGAATACTTCTAAGCATCAATCTGTACTTTTTTCTTATTTCTAGCTCCTTAACTTCAAATCTATTTGTTGTAATTCTACTTGTTTTGCCTTCTTTAAAATATATAGCCCAAGCATTTTACAAATTTAGCTTCTGTTCTTCGCTTCTACATGTGATCTTTATATATGCTGCTACTGATCTTTTTAGAGTGTGCCATTCTAGTAATTCTACTCTTCCATATTGATTAAAGCATCTTTTGATTCTTGCCAAATTTACTCTAAAAGGTAAATCCCAGATTGTAGAATACAACTCTAGGTTTCTTTTGTCTTTATAATGTTCAGTTTTATTGACTAAATGCTTGTTTTGGGGCAATAAATTTTCAGATGCTCATATTGAGCTATATATGTCTTTCTTTTCTTTCAATTCTTTAGGGACTTTATGGACTTCTTTTTTATAATTGGGTTGTTTTTCTACAATCTGCTCTTTATCAGTAGATATTTGCTGTTCTGTCTCTATATTCATACTGTTGAAACTTTTAACTAGAGAAATTAGTTTTGCTGTATCCTCTGTATCGTGATCTGGTGTTCTGCATTCTGAGAAAATTAATGAAAATTTGTAATCCTCATTTTGATTATAACATTGCATTAGCAATTCCCTATCACTTTTATTGAAATTCAATTCTGCATTTTTGATATAATTTGTTTTTTTCTTTTTTGCAGCTATGCTACTTTGAATATCTTTATTATGTACTCTTTTTCCGAGTATTAAGGCTGGAAGTTTTGTGTCTAAATTCATTTCTGTGGATTGGCTCATGGCTTGGTTAGAAGCGGTTTCTATTAGAACTTCTCCTATAAGTTGTGCCTCTACTTCTGATATTTCTTTTCCATCACGTTTTTTGCCTTGAACTCATTTGTAGCTGTCTAGTAATACTCATATTATACCAATTTGTTCTGGATGAGATGCTCCCATGTAACTTGCTATATCTCTGTCTATCTTGAGAGTTATAAATTTTTGTTCTTTGTATACTTCCTCAACTTGCTTCTCTGAGTTGTTGTAAAAATTCTTTAAGTCTGCTATTCTAGTCATTTTTGTCTCGATGTCTATGTATTTTGTTACGTGACTTATTTGTGTTGTTTGTTTGTCTACTTGTATTGTTTGTTTACTTGCAGCTTTGTTTATTTGTTTATACTAAATAGATTACGCATCACTATTTGTTGTTTTGGTGTAACAATTAGTGATCTGTTTGTCAGAGGTTTGCCAAATTCCCACTTTTTGTATCGAAAGTTGTAAAAATTTTCTAAAATTCCTAGTTGTTACAAAATTTACTAAAGAAATGTATTGTTTGCTTCTAAAGGAGTTTATTTGTTTTATAACAGGACTTCTTTTTTTTTAGAAGGTTTTTGACTGTTTGTTGACTTGTTTTTGCAAAATTTAATGTTTTTATTTAAATCTAAATTTGGTACAAAGGATTAGCAGAAAGAGTTTTTTAATTTTAGTTATATTGTTATTAACAAGAAATGAAAAATAATTAGAAATAAATAAATACTTTCACTTAAGCAAAAATATATCTTGCTAAAAAATAAGAATCAAAATTTTTTAAAACTGAATTTCTTATCTTCAACAAGAAATGAAAATAATTAGAAATAAGTAAATAACTTTATTTAAACAAAAATAGATCTTGTTAAAGAATAAAAATTAAAGTTTTATACAATTATTTAAAAACTAATTTTTATCGAAAAATAATTAGAAATAAATCATTTGAATGAAAATAGATAATAGAAATTGAAATCATATACAATTTTTTTAAAAATAAGTTTTCATGAAAAATAATTAAAAATGAACAAAGGCTTTGTTTGAATGAATAGGAATTAAAATTTTACACAATTTTTTAATAAGGGTGCTAGCATTTATTAGGTAATATTTTAGAAGATGGGGTCAAGCAAACCTTACCTTATATAAAACAATTATAGTCAATCAAATTTAGCTAAATATTTTATCTGGGGGTGAGTAAGTCTCTATAGTAAAAAAATATTAGATAATAAATATTAGCACCCTAATTAGATCTTATCAAAAAATAGAAATTGAAATTTTATATAATTTTTTAAAACCAAATTTTCATTGAAAATAATTAGAAATGAATAAAGGCTTCATTTAAGCAAAATAAATTATGTCAAAGAATAGAATTGAAATTTTACGACTTACAATTGCATATGTCAATATTTAGTTTTATTGTGAGTCAATAGAAAAGTGACAAATCATTTTTAGTGAAATTTTTTTAATTTTTAAATTAAAATATCTCAACAACTATTTAATCAAATTTGCTAAAAATTTTTTTATTTTAATTTTGAAATTATATAGAATTAAAATAAAAAAATTTTTATTAAATTTAACAAGATTATTGCCAAGATATTTAAGCTCAAACTCAAGAAAACTTTTACTTAGAAAAAATTTGTCTCTTTTCTATTGACTCCCCCTATATATATAGTTATCTGATCTTATAAATTATATATAGTATTTAATATATCAATATTTGTTACTGAATATTATTATTATTATTATTCCTAAAATATATAATTTATCAAATCAGCAGAATAATCATTTGGGTTAATTTTTTGCCAGGTGTTCTAGAAATAATAATAATAGCTATAATATCTAAATAATTATTCAAATACCTTTCAGGTTATCTAGATATCTGAGTAATCTAAGTTATCTGAATAATTCAGATATAAATGACAGATTTACCCAAATTGGAACTCTACTAACCATAAAGAGCTATTAGAAGATTTTAGAATACAAACTTTCTTATTCTAATACTTAAAGAGCCATTATTAATTAACTAATTAACTAGTTAATTAATCGACTAATCGATTAATTGACTAATCAATTAATCGATTAAGTTAGTTAGAAAAATGAAATCGATTAGTTGTCAACTTGATCAACTAATCGATTTTTCAACTTTCAATTTGTATCACTACTTCTACTGTTCTTTTTACTGTTACTAGGACCAACTATAGAGCTTTTGTCTCTATTGTTTTGTTTGATAAAAGTACATTTAACTAGTTTTCTTTCTTTTGGTATTTCTATTTCATTTAGTAATCTTTTTCTCTTATTTATATTTATATCTTCTCTCTTGTACTGAAACATGGTATTGTAAAGATTTCTGTTACTTGAGTTTTCTGCAATTAGATACTACTTAAATTTGGTGTTGAAATAATAAAGATAACAGTTTTGGGCTATTAAAAGATCATTTTTTAACTTGAAGTATAGGTAGGCTTTTTTCTTTTAATTCTTATTATGGTTGCTCAAAATGTACCATATTTCTCTAAAATAAGCTACTTCCAAAAGAAGCTACTCCTTTTTCTTGAAGAAAAAATATAAAAAACACCTTTGTTCTGAAAATAAGCTATTCCCTATTAGCTACAAGTAGTTGCTACATATAAAAGTCAAAATTCTATTAAGTAAATTGACAAAAATCACTTAATAGCGGTTGTTCAGAAGATAAAATACACCTATTTTAAAAGTTTCAAGCGAATTGGAAAACTTTTTACTAAAATATTTTTGCATTTTATGTTTGAATATAAAATGCAAAAACATCTTAGTAAAAAGTTCTCTAATTCACTTTAAACTTTCAGAATAGATATATTTTTACCTTCTGAACAACTGCTATTAAGTGACTTTGTCAATTTACTTAATAGAATTTTGACTTTTATATATAGCAACTACTTGCAGCTTAATAAAAATTAATAAAAATTAATTGTACCCCAAAATAAGCTACCTATGATTTTTGTGTAACTTTTTGACCGAAAAAGGGTAGCTTATTTTCGGAAACCTACAGTATACTACTTGTACTTTGTATTTTTTAAGTTGGTATAGCAGAAAACTACTATTAATCCTCTCTAAGTGCATATCATCAGAACTATAGTAAAAATTTTCAAAAACATGCATTTAGAAAGATTATACATTTAAGAAGATAAAAATCTATAAGTGTTGGGCCAAAAAAAAGACATGCATTTAGCAAGATTTTACATAGATATGCATTTAGGGAGGTTGCATTTAGAGAGGTCTGATTATATCATATACTGTTGTTGATATATTGATAATTATACTTTTGTAATTATTTTTATTTTATTTTAGCAATATCAAATTTGTCAGGTGTGGTTTAATATATTTAAGTATACTGATCAACTTTCCTTTAATGATTTTTTTCTTTATTTTGAGTTTGGCAAAATTTTAATAAAGGCTGTCTTTGTTCTAAAATTATGCTATATGCCAAAACTGTTGCTATGCCAAAAAAACTCAGGTGTGACTTAATTGTTGATGCATTCATTCTCTTTAGCAAGTACCAAATTATAAAAAAGTATATTATAGAGAAAGAATAATTTTGTGAGGAGATCTTGTTTTTTGAAGCCCAAGCTAAATTGTATATATTTTTATATTATTTAGATTTTTTACAACTTAATTTTTGTATCAACCTAAAGTTTTTCTCTAATTCACTTATTAAGATTATAATTAAGTACTCTATACTTTTTTTGAACTAATATATTTTTAACTATTTTTAGTTTACTTTTTAGAGTATATAAGAAGGTTTTTTGTTCTATAAGATTTTGCTTGTAGGTTTGTCTTGTAGTTCTACTTCTATGTTGTTAGTTGTGTTGTTGATTTTAACTACTAGTACTATTGAGAAGATTTCTATAAAAACTAGCTCAATTTTAATTTAATTTTTATTATTGTACTAGGTCATATTTAGGCTTGTAACATGCTCTAGTGTGCTTTTCTTCTTAGTTTTTATATCATTGCTATATATTTTGACTAATCTAGTAAGTTATATGTATACTTCTTCTATATAGAAGAATTTGACTTTAACTTTGATATTGTTTTTTTGTAAATAATTTTTATTTATATTGTTAATTTGCATTGTGTTGTTGTTAGGATACTCTAGAAGAATTTTTTTTTTATCTGTTAAGCTTTGATTTTTATATTAGACATGAATATAATATTGTATTATATTATATATAATTGTAACAAGATAGGTTTTGCTAATACCAAGATATTTTGCAACTTTCTTGTTTTCTTTTCAAATAAAAGCCTTTTGCTCTTCTTGTATTGCTACTCTTTCCTCTTTTACTTTATTAAAAAAATTTTTATAAATACTAAGTTCTGGTATTTTACATGTATTGATGTATTTGTTTGTTGTGTTGTTTGTTTGTCTAATAATATTTAGCTTGTTTGTTTATTTGCCTAATTAGAACATGTTTGTTTGTTTTGCTAGTTTGTAATCTGCAAAACAGAGTTAATAGCAAATCTCCAGATTTTTAAAAAGTTTTAGAATTTTTGTCAAAAGTTTAGATTTTTTTAAAAAATAAGCTTCCAAGATTATAAGAAATAATCTTGCTTTAAGAAACTCAAATTATTTTTCTTGTTCTGTTCTTTAGCTTAAAGCTATTCTTATTGTTGTTTTAAAATATTTCTGTTCTGGTTTGGTTTTTTTTTAGCTCTGAATTTAAGTTTGATGATTAGTAAAAAGAGTTTTTGTTTATACAAACTAATCAAATTAGTTAAATAATTTAGCTAATCAAATTATTAATATTTAATCAATTTGATCAGTTTGACCAATTTGACTATGATCAAACTGGTCAAATTGGTCAAATTGGTCAAATATAATATTTATTATTATCTTGAAATTCCTCAAAGAAAAATATTTTTATTTATTAAGTAAATCTCCTTTTAGCTTTTAAGTAAAGTTGTAAAGAAGTGTTTTGTAATAAAATGGTAGTTAAAACATTAAAATTGGCCTAGTAAAATACAAGATATAAGTATTTTAGTTTTTGCAACTCTATGTTTTCTTTAAAGAAGAAATATATAATCACAAAAAAACTAAAATACTTATTTCTCATATTCTACCAAATTGATTTTAATATTTTAGCCACTAATCACAAGACACTTCTCTATAACTTTACTTAAAAGTTGAAAAGAGGTTTACTTAATAAATAAAAAGTTTTTTGGGAGAAATTTTGAATTTCAAAGACAACCTTTACTGTTTACTAAGGTTTTTTTTTTTATTACCCAAACTATTTGATCAATTTGACTAGTATAAACTCTTTGACTAAATTGGTCTAGTCAAGCCCAACTCTAATTGTAATAGTAATTAAATAAGATACTTAACTCCTATTCTAAGGAACTAGACTTCTGTAATATTATACTAATAAAGAGTATATAAAAGAAGTAATAGTCTAATTTGATAATATACAATGCAAATATCTAAAATGATGTAAAATAATATTTTAGTATAGTAGCAGATAGCTTAAAATACAGTTTTATAACTATAGCAACATCTAGTTTGAGATACAGATTAGATCTTTAAAGTAGCTTCTTTAGAAACACCAAACTAAAAATAAGAAGAGCACCTACTCAAATAACACCAATTTGAAAGTTATAAAAAACAAATTAAAAATAATATAATAAATAATAAAATAATAAGAAGTAGTAGATATTGTATAGTAATATATAAGTAGAATATATATGATATAATAGGTTTGAAAACTATCCTGTAAGTTAGAAACTAGTTTAGTGCTAGATAGTTGATAAGAAGGTAAAATCCCATATAGCAAATTGTATATAGATACTAATTAAGTAATCAATACTTGTAATATAAATTAAATAGTTGTAAATATATACATATATTTGTAATTAATATCTTAAGTATTCTAATAAATGATATTGGTAAGACTGCCAAATTAAAAAAATATTTTTAATTATTGTATTTTAGAAATAATAAATAAGAAAAAACTAATTTGACATCTAGTATATTAAACCTAAATGTTTGTATAAGGCCATACAAATTTGATTACTTGGTTTTCATAACATGAAACTTTTAAATAGACCTGGCCGGCCGGCTTTTTTTTTTAAATTTCATATATAAAATTTTACAAAATTTATATTAATTTTTTTTTTAAAACCCACCCGGTTATTAAAACATATAAAAATTTTTTTTTTGAAATTTTCAAATTTTGACCCGGCTGGGTTATGAAAACCATTTAATTAATTTTGCATGGCCTAATATATAAATTAAATAATTTTTATTAAAATAAACAATAAACAAAAATAATTTTAATTAATATTAAAGTTAGTATTAGCATTCAAAATAGAATAAATTATAGTTTATACCAAATTTTGCAATAAATTTTTTTCTTAAAGCTTGAAAGATAGTTTTATAAGCAAAATTTTAATATATAGTCAACTTCTTTTAAGTGCATGTTCTCTAAGTGCAGATCATATTAAATTTTCACTAAATGCAGGTTTTTTTTTAGTCTCAAGCTATATAAAATTATAATAAACTTATATTCTTTAAGTGCAAATTCTTTCTAAATGTAAAATTTTTTTTTACTTAAAAAATTTTATAGATTTCAGCAAGCTTAAAGAGAGTTGACTATATTATTTATTTTTATTTTTTTTTTATTTTTGTTATACAAAAAATGATTTACATATTGCATTTAATTTGATATTTTATTTTAATATTTTGTGTAACAAGTATTAATACATCTAGTATTCAAATAGTAATTGTCTAATAAATATAATATAAAAGAATATTTTTAACTTGTGCTAGTAGTTAAGGATAACCAGTATATTTAATAATATACTAAGTAAATGGGATTGAGTATTCTAAGTAAAAATGTTTAGAACTTTATATTTAATCTATATTATATTATATAAAAAAATTATTTTTTCAGTATTACTGAAAAACTCTTTCTGATGATCACTTGAACTATATTTTCTAAAAAATATTTTACTGCAAAAAGAGACCTTACAAGCTAGCACTTGACATACTAGACAATAAGTCAGTATTTGTTATTTAGAAGTAGTTCTCATATACTACTTGCTGACAGGCTTAGAGTTTATCACTCACTGCATAGTCTCGGCACTTGTCATTTAGAGGTAGTTCTTATATGCTATTGCCAACAAGCCTAGAGTTTATCATTCATCAAAAAAAGATTAAGCAGATGTTGGGCGGTGGATCTTAACTGTAGAAAAGAAAACTCCTTTAATTTGGTTTGAAACTCAAGTAGTTTCTCTTTACCTCTTGTCGTTTTTTCATCAGTTTTCAAAAATTTTCATAAAAAGTGAAAATTTGGCTTATCCTTCCAAAAAATCGGCATTGTTTACTTACCAAATCCAGATAGACCAGTAGATAGCAACTATATATTTGGAGACAAATACATTGCACAGGCCCTAGAACAAGTCCCAGTCAAAAAAGGAATTCCTGGTGGCGGCAGCAAGTAGCTCAAGACACAAGTACCCAAGTGATGGCACCTTTACAGAAATGTTGCATCCTTGTTATTATTGGCACCGTATATGAAGAGTCAGATCCTAGTACTGTAGCAACACTTGGTTTAAGATACAGACTAGGTTATTAAAAAGATTCAGAAATAGGTTAGAGAAAATTTTAAGATTAAGTTAAGACTTACAACAAAGGTATACAGATATTGCATCTAGTATATAATTTTTAAATCACCTGGTATGTAGTAGTTAGTTATTCTATTAGAGTTCAAACTGCATCCTGAGTATGGAAGCAAAGTAATAGGTAGAAGTAAATATTCATTTTGTTGGGCTGTGTCAATATTATATACCCAGTGAGCAATTAATATGGAGTTTGAGTTTGGAAACTTCTTTTATATTTGACTAATAATAATATTGTTATTTTGGTATATACGTAGCTAAAGCTTGTAAGCTTTGTGAGTAAGGTTGATATAATAGACAAATGAGTTAAATCTTTGTGGTTGCAGATGTAAATGTATAGTGCAGTGGTGAGTATCTGCTAGTAGCATGTTTTCTAGATATGTGAACTACAGTGGCTTTTTCCCTTTTAGAAAATATAATAGTTTTAGAAGAAAGGTATATTTATTATAATAGAGTTTGGTTGTTTGCTATGCATAGCTGCTTAAAATAAAGTATTCTTTTATATCTAATTTGTTGTTTAAAAGTGCTATAGTAAGAATAGTAGGCTATAAGTTGTTTAATTGATGATTCGCCAGTCACCTGATGCATGATCATAGTGTAATATAATGCAAATTATTATGTAAATTATATATGCAGAAAATGTAGAGATTTTTTGACAATTATTCAAAGAAAACTTTTTTTGTACTAAGTTAATCGACAAGGTCAATTAATTGAAAGTTGTAGAGCTTGCTGAGGCGCATTTAATGGTGGTTAAATCATTAAAATCGGCCTAGTGGTTCGCGAAATATCACTAAAAAATGATTGGTTAACTATATAAAATCTCTATTTCGCTATCTCCAAAAGCAATAGTGTCTTCTATAGGAATATTATAATGAGAAGATAATCTTTCTGCTGCTCTCCCTTTATTAGCTATCGCTAAACAAATACGAATGACAATTCTTTCCGGATCAGGGACCTATATAAACAATAGTTTGTTTACATAGAGATTTTATATAGTTAGCCAAGTGTTTTAGAGATATCTTGTGAACCACTAGGCCAATTTTGATGATTTAACCACCATTAAATGCGCCTCAGCAAGCTCTACAACTTTCAATTAATTTACCTTGTTGGTTAACTTAGTACAAAAAAAGTTTTCTTTGAATAATTGTCAAAAAATCTACATATTTCCTGCTTATGTAATTTACATAGTAATCTGCATTATGTTACACTATGATCATGCATTAGGTGACTGGCAGATCATCAATTAAGTGATATATTGCTACTATTAATAGTTTGTGGCCATAGTATATTAGAGTTTGTCTTTATTGTTAGACCAAAAGAATTGTATAACTGTATAATTTTGAAGTTAGTAGTATAATAGTTGGGACCATCTATATGTAGACAAAGGTGCTGGAGTAAACTGGTTATAGACCAGAAATTGTTCTGTAGCTACTATAGTCTAATTCAGGTAGTAAGCCCCAGAGTTGAAGTGTTATTAAGTCTGTTGTTAAAATTGCTGATATGGTGTTGGAGCTATATGTCCCAAATGTTGTTGATATTATATATATTGTAATTAAGTATAGTACTATTAGGAGTAGATCTGGTGAAGTGGGATTTGTGTTTGGCTATTATAAGATATTTGTCTAGTAGTCAGTTACAGGTTGAGTGTAGAATAACAATGTTCTGAATTCTATATTCTGTTGTTGAAATAATAACTGTGTTGATGATATATATGACTTGTTTGTCAGTAATAATTTTTGTACTAGCAATATTAGCTAGTTGTAGAGTCTCATCTTGTATTAGCTTGATTTGGGCTGTTTGCTTATTATTAAGAGTAAACTAGCATCTAAGAAACTTGAATAGAAGTTAAGCTGATATTTAGAAATAAGATACTGGCATTGGGCTGTTTGAAAATGAATATAGATTTAGTGGGGTTGACTTGTATATTGGCTAGTTGGTAAAAAGATATAGTTATGTTTATAGTTTTTTCTAAGTATTTTTTGAATTAAGCAATCTACACAGTATTGTCCATATATACTAGTACTGAGATTGATATATGAAGATAGTTTGTAGATAGGTATATGAGGCTTGTCTGCCAGGATATAGAGAGAGTATATCTAAATTAGTAACTAGCTATATGTGATATTAAAGAGTCATAATAAATTCTCCAGAATAGTGGTATAATAGTTTTCCCCTGATTGATACTATTTTTGACAGAGTAGCTCTCTGTCAATCCCAAATTGGTAATAACTCAGTTGGTGTAGTTAGAGAGTAAGTTGGTAAAGATATTGACAAAAGCTTGGCATATAGGAATTCTGTGCCAGGTTATGTTGATCACTGCAGATCATGTATTGTTCTGTAGTACAATATTACATCCAGTAATTCGGTAACTTACAAAAAAATCAATTTGTAAAATATGTACATTTTTATATAAATATTTAATGCCGGGGTTGATTATATATGGGTGGATTTATGACAATATATACATATATATATCATACATATCTGTCAAGTCTGTCAAAAATAAACTTTATATTACTTTATTTGTTATGATGATGTAATATTACAAATTAGAAAATATATAAATATTTGATCAATGCATGATCAAACTTCTTTTTCGTTTTCTCAAGTAGACTTGCACTTGTCTAATAAAATACTGAAATATTGCTATTCTGTCTTAAGAGACGTCATGTGTAGAAGGAAAGTTAATAATAAAGGTGAGAATAGGTATTGGAAGAAAATAACAACTTTAAGCAGATATTTAGTGTAAACTATATTAATAAGATAATGATAATATAAGTATAGTCAAACAATTTTTTACATAAAAAAGACATGCTTACGCAGTAATTATTTATTAACTATTTAATTTGACTTTATAAACAATAACAATTTTTATATTAGTATACGAAAAAATATAAATGAAATAACTTTTGAATATAAATACAATAGTTATCTATTTTTTGAATATGATGAACATGGAAATATTGGAGGATTAATTTTTAATTGTGAAGGTGTAGGTGAAACAATTTTTGAATGCGAAAGTACTGGTAAAACAACTTTTAAATATAAAAATATTAGAGAAGTGATTTTTGAACATGAAGGTGTAGGCAAAACTATTCTTGAATGCAAAAGTGCTAGTGAACCGATTTTTGAATATGAAGGCATTTCTAGATATAAAGGTATCTGTAATACAACTTTTGAATATGAAGATACTAGCGAAATGATTCTTGAATATGAATACGAAAGTATTGGTAAATTAATTCTTGAATATGAAGGTACTAGTGAAACAATTCTTGAATATGAAGGTGTGGTGAAATAATTTTTAAATGTGAAAAAATTTGCAAAATTATATTAGAGTATAAACCAATTTTTAAATATGAAGGTAATGATAGTGTGAAACATGTAGAACATCTAGTAGATAATGAATATATACAGATATATAAGTAATAAAAGTTATACTATTTATGTTACTATATTGTTATATTTTATAATCTAAAAAAAATTTTAGAAATACTTTTGGGATTTATTACCAAATGTTCTTAAAGACATTTTTCTTCTGAACTATAACTATGCTATTCGACATTTTATCAAATTGCTATCATATTGAACAAAAGAAAACTTTGAAATAATTTAATTCGAAGTTCATGCATTTGTTAATATTGGAACTTTAAAAAATATACAAACCTAGTATTCTGACTTTAAAACCATTCTAAGACAATGATATTACAATCAAAAGGATATAATGTTAAGGGTAAATAGGTAATGTTTCGTGAGCAAAGACACTATATTCATAGTTAGAAGATTAAGAATAAGCAGGAAAATTCTGAAATTAAACGAACACAAAGTATATGTAAAAGAAATACAAATTGTTCTGTAACAATAAATTTAAAATTGAAATATTGTTGCATGTTTACTAAGTATATATTTAAAATTAATCTTAATTTTAAACATAATCATATAACTAATTCAGCAGAAGCACTTAGCTTTCGCCGTGTACATGAACAAACATATAAAAAATATATATAATTATTTCATGATAATTATTCCCTAGCAAGTGCATTACACATTTTTGAGGATGAACTTTATCTTTCAGCTTTGTCGGATGAAAAATTAATTAAAACTCTTGCGGATCGTGCTATTAACCCTAATTATGATTATGTTAAACATACTTTTAAATGTTATTGTGACTTATATCTTGGTAAAAAAAATAGAAAGTCAATGCTTCAATGTTTATCTGAAGAAGTTTCAAACTATAATACTAGTGGATGTAGTCGGGCAATTCTTCAAGAGTATGACTCACAAAGTGAAATATTATTTATTTTATGTATTGTTACTAAGTTAATGAGTTAAGTTTATAAACGAATTATTCAAGCAGGCAAAATTTGTTATATAGATGCATCTGCATCATTTGAGCTAGTGATTGGACCTGGGTGGGCATTACCCAGGTCATCCGTGGGTGGGTCGGGTAACCTGGTTTGAGCTATAATGATCTGAATGAGTAACCCATGGGTTGATCCATGAGTTGACCCATGAGTTGACCCACAGGTTGAGTTTTATGTGTGACTAACTGGATCTATACTTTCTGGAAAATTGGTCAAATTATATTTTCAGCCAATTCAATTTATAATTTGGCTTAATAATATATGAGTGCCGCCAAATGAAAACCTGTTATCGAATTTTAATTATATTTTGTATACAGTTAGCCGTCTATGGAAAATCTATTATAATGATAGATTTTTTATAGACGGCTAACTGTTTTCCTTGGCAACACTCAAATTCAAATTGATAGATATGATTTAAGATCCGACAACTAATTTATCTATATGTAATAAAATTTCAAGTGTCTGTTTGTTTAAAACAATCTGATTGGCCAATTAAGGTCATAATTTGTGTTATCTGTTTTTTTTTTTTTGTATACAATACATATTTATATATATATATGAGTGCTGCAAAGGGAAAAGTGATACTTTGATCTATTGGTTTATCATGTCTGTCTAAACGGGCTTTCAATTTTAGTTTAATTCTGCAAAAATTGATTAGCAATACATTATATAATTTCTATATGTCTATTAAGCTAAAATTGAAAGCCCATTTGAACAGATATAATAAACTGATAGATCAAAGTATCCCTTTTCCCTTTGCAGCACTCATTTAGTAATTAATATAATGTTTGTTTTAGCTTAGGGGTTGAGATTATAAATATTATACATGTAATACAGTTAATTAATAAAAATAATTAAAAACATGTGATAGCTAATCATATAAGTGATTCTTTAGTTAATAAGGGTTTTAACATTCTGTCTGTCACCTTTAGCAGATTTGATTGACCAATTTTAGGTTCATTAAATGCCTAAAAAAGAACAGCCAATGTGTTAAATTATGGTTTATAATTTATATAAGTTAGTATAGTGTGGATTCGTACAGTCCATATAAAGTGAAAAATACCTAATTTTGAAATTTGTCCTAGCTGATTCAGTATTATATAGATAATACTTATTAGATTTTTTAATTTTATCATTTACAAGTGTAAGTAAAGCACCATACAATTTTGAAAGACTAAAATTTAAAATCAACATTTTGTATAAATTTACAAAAAATCAAGTTGTGTAATAATCACAAATTAGAACAAATAAGAATTAAATTTTCAGCTCCAAAGAGCCCTTGTATAATCAGAGATTTCAGCTTATAATGATTGAGTTTTAAAATACGAGTGTTCTTTACACATGCTAGATGGATCTGATTATTATAATAAAACTGGTTATTGATCATTTATACATTTTGGTATTGGAAAATAATTATGTGACTCTAATTTTATAACTAGTGCTCAGCAAAATCAAACAAAAATTTAATAGTCAAATACTTGTGATTAAGTACTATATTCAGTTTTGGTTATTTGATATCCGATTTAATTACAAGTAGTATTTGATTGTCAAATTCTGCCGAGCACTATTTATAATATTAAAAAATAAAATAACAATATAAAATAAATTAAGATTGTAAGCTATACCTTATTTTAACATGAAAAAATGATTGTAAGAACATTATGATAGTTTATTATAAGAGGATTATTTACCGAATTTGGCCTTTAAAAGCCTAATAGTAATATTTATGACATGTAACCACATATATACAATATAATATATATCACTGATTAGATTTTCACGATTTTCACAAACTGAATTAGAAAGTTTCATTTACTCTTGGTAATGACCAAATGATTTTTATACATTTTGGGCCAATACATTTACCTTATCTTTTTATCTCAGCATGTGTTTTTTTTATTCATTTTATTTTTTATTTTCAATTAGCTATTCTATCTTATCACATACTACTATATATTACATTGCTCATTTATCATTTTATCTACTAATGCCTATTGTTAGTTATTCTTACAAATGTGATTTTAATTTGCCCCTTGGAAAATCATAGTTATGCATTATATTTTTAGAAAAGATTATAATATTTATAGATAGATTAGTTGTGTAACTAAAATTCAGCAGAATGACCAATGTTTAGGGTTAGAATGCATCGAAGATATACCAGTATTAAGCAATAATAATAATTAGATATATTATAACAAAATTGGTATCTAGGTAATTCTACTCAGCATATGGATTACCAGAATATTAGCAAAATTTATCAATTCCAATCTATTTTGCCCGGAATTTGGTCAGTCTGCTAAATTTGGTTATGCGACTAATCTATTTTGACTTATGCATAGACATTTGGACACCTAACTACTAGTATAAATATATATATATATATATTTTTTGGTATTAAGGTGATCTCTTTGGTCTGGGGAACTTTTTATTAGAGTATAGACAAAGTTTTATATGTAATTACAATAATGGTACATCAAGCCACACGTGCACCTTTTGAGTGCCTATTTAAGTAGTCCGCCCGAAGGTTCTACACTATCTGCCGTACCTGCACCCCAACTAGGGGGGTACCCATTTAAACCATCTGGTTCTAACTACCTCCATCAGCCCTTTAACCCTATGGGTTTCCTCACTATTCATACGCTAGATTTTGGTATCACCCAATATGGATTTCGCACCCTACCTTAGGACACTTAACTATCCTTGAGGTAAACCTAACACAGCGGTACATGTCCTACACATATATTCACATGCTTGTTCTTATAACTTCTTCCTAATTAGTATATATTGACCTGCCGTTCTGTACTAGTATAAATATTACAAGACTTTAGTAAATATAATATATACATTTATGTTTCTGGCTGAATACAAAAATACTATACTTTCAAAACATCTTCATTGGCAAATACAGTAGTTGAAAACTTTAGAAGACCTATCCGTTCGAAAAATAAGTAATATTTAGGAGTTAATAAACCTTCTAGAAATCAGGTTCTCAAGACTTTCAAAAATATAGATATATATTTCCATTAGTTTTGTGAAAGCTGCTAAGATATCTTAAAATTTCAGCTAAAAAAAAATATGACTAGCATGCATTTGAATTAAAATTTAATACTGTTAACTATAATGATAATGATCTGTAAAAACTTTATTATATGGTATAATTTGACTCGGGTTAAACGGGTCACCCGATAAACCTGGGTGACCTGTTGATCACCCGGGTAACCTGTGGGTCCACCTGTCAGATGACCCAGGTTATATATATTTTTTTTTATATTGCCAACGGTAGAAACTTTATTAGTTATGATAAACGCCTTACAGAACAATTGTATATACAGTTTCTAATTATATTTGTGCTACTATTACTAGTCACCCAATGTGGCATTATACTCCTTAATTTCCCTA